AGGAGCAGCGGGGGGCACATCCACGCTCACGCAGAAGCATGCACCGTGCAGGGGGAGTCTTTCCCATGCTTGCACGCCGGCTCTCCCAAACACGCGAGCCTGGCGTGTGTGCAGCCTCACCCACGCGGGCAAACGATGCCCATGCCCACGGGAGCACATCCTTAGGTACATGCATGCTCTCACACACATATGCATGTCACATGCATGCAAATGTGCAAACCTGAAATGGGCACACAGGGACGTGATCGCGTGAGCTAGACAAACGTATGCACATGTGTTAAGAAAACCGTGCATATGAGCACACGCGTGACTTTCCCATCCATGGCGTGGAGGGGGAAGACCCCTCTGAGAAATGTTTCCCACAGACCTGCAGAAGTCTCGTCCCAGGAGCTCTGCAGAGCAGTAGGATTGGGGATGAGAGTACGGGGATGTCAAGTAGGAAAAGATGAGTGAAGTAGTCCTAGGAGGGTTGTGGTCAGAAAGGAAAGAGAAGCCAGCAAGGAGAGGGGAGGTAACAGCGCCCAAAATCTGCTGGCCAGGGTGGGGTTCAGGAAGGGGAAGGCTGTGGGTCAGCAAGTAACTCAGAAAGGGGAGAGGGGGCCTGGGGGGCCGGGGTACATATAGGACTACTTGTGAAAAGACAGCAGGGTGCATGCAGATAGCACTCCTGCCTCCCTCTTTCAGAGATACCTCTTCCACTCTCAAGGGTCTATTTCTGGATTCATACTGTTCTCACACACACACACACACACACACACACACGCATGCACGCACACACATGGAATGAAGCAGTAGCAAACATTTTGCAGTACCCACAATGTCCCGGGCCCTCTTCTAAGCCTTGTGCAGCTATGAGCTCATTCAAGTCTTTCCACAACCTCCTCCAAGGCTCCATGACCACCTGGCTCTCCAGTCAAGGAAAAGGAGATGCAGAGAAGGGGAGAAGTAACTTGGTGGGAAGGGGCGCCCACAGCCTCAGCTATGCTGTGTGTCCCATCCCCTCTACCAGCAGAGAGGGGAAGCAGAGGCAGTGGGCGTCCAGGGCTGAGGATTGGGCTTGGAAGGAAGGGAGATGAGGAAGGGGGGAAGGTGCCTGCATGGCACAGGGGCCGGGGTCACCCTGAGCCAGAGGGATGGGAGTGAATAAGCACCCTGGGAATGACACCCACCACGGCACTTGGTCCCCGTGTCAACCCTGGGAGTCAGCAAGGGAGGGAAGGGGGGTTGGGTGGCCTGGGAAGTTGAGCAGTGTGCCCCAAGTGACTTCACAGAGTAGGTGTCCCAACCAGGTCTGCCGGCCCCCGCGGGCGCGCATTCGGGGATTCCGCTCAGAGCGTGACCACACACTTTCTGGCCACGGGCCGCTCCCCTCCTGCTCCTTTGTTGGCAGAGCCGGAGAACAACAGGTCAGCGTCCTCCTTGCATCATCCCCACGCTGGGCGCCTGGTAACGAGACACCTGTCAGCCTTCTCGTCCCCAGGCTTCAGCGCAGAATAGATGAGAGAAGCTCTTTGCAGAGTCGCACTGAGCAGGAATAAAGAGGAGGAGAAGGGCAGGAGTGAGGGGAGGGGGTGGAGGATGATGAATAAAACCATCAACGTTTGCAAAAGAACAGACGCAGCGTTTTTTTGCCTTCTGATCTGTAAGCCTCTGGAAATTGGGGGTCTGTGGGGGTCCCTCTGTGTGGCCGTTTTAATTCTGGCCTCTCTGCTCCACACAGCTTTCTGGAGCCATCATCGAACGGGCTCCCCAAAGGAGGCATCGATAGGCCCGGGAAAGACAAAACGGTGAATCCCTTGCCTTCTCCAGGGGCTGGGAGGAGGCGGCAGGTGGATGGGGAGCAATCGACATTTTAATAGCCACAGTCAGCATGGTACTGGGCAGCCCGGGCCCAGACAAAGGCACCGGGTCCCTCACTCCCACCCCACCTTGGCCTCCCCCGACTCAGGCCCTGTTCAGAGTTGGCCTCGTTCCCGCCGCGCCCTCTGAAAGGTCAGAGGCTCCTGCCGCCAGGCTGAACTTGGGCCTTGAACTTTAAAGGGGGACACGAGAGGCTGTCGGGGGGCTGTGTGTGCAGCTGATGGAGAGGAGGAAGTGATTCGGGTGGGGATGTGTGCTTGGCGGTGGGGGGGGAGGGGGAGACAGTGGGAGGATCCCAGGGACAGGCCCACAGAGGCGATGTGGCCTGCAGAGCTCTGTGGTTATCAACTCCGGTGTCAGGTGGCGCTGCGTCGGCCCCTGAGGCTTACATACCGACCTACTTTCCTGGCCCTCCATCTCCTCACTGCTTCCCAGACCCACCTGCCAGCCCCCTCCGTGGACTGAAACCAGTCATGCTAATGGACGTCTCTCTGACACAGCCCCAGGACCCCCTATTATGGCCCACTGTTCTGATCCGCATCCCTAACCAAGCTTGGCAGGCCTGGCAGGGCTCAGACAAAGGAAGGGAAACAATGGTCAAAGACAGGCTCTGCAAAGCGGCTGCACGAATGAGGGCAATTCTAATTACAGTGGGAAGGGGAGTATTTTGAATGTACATTCCCACCATGACGGAGGCCATGCCGTAGTGAGCGCAGTGTCCGTGCCAGGAATGTGGTTCAGCAGTTTGCATGAGAAATTTTATTTAGTCTAGACAATGACCCTGAGAGGTAGGCAGGATGACCTTCCTGGTACAGAGGGGGAAACTGAGTCTCAGTGAGGCTTACGTGCCCTGCTCACCATGACACACAGCCAGTAGCTGAGTCTGGATTAGAGTTCTGGATCATATCCCCCCTTATAGTCTCCTTCCCCTGTTCCCTGTGGATATCCTCTCTGCTGATGATCTGTCCCCACGAACCAGCTCAGGGACCTCCAAGTGTCCCCAGACTTACTGTCATTTTCTGTGGCGTTACTTTTCCCAGAAGCTCTAGAATGTCTCCCTGCAGGGCACCAGCAGAGGGTTAGCAATGACGACCTTGTCTCAGCAGGCCCCAGATAAGGTGACTGCAGTGTCTTCCCCCAACAGAGCTTGCCAGGAACACTGAGGGTGGCTTTATAAATTCTGCTGGCTACTCAGCCACCTATCACTTCCAGGGACTGGGAGCGGGGAGACGACAGGGTCATGTTCTGGGTGTTTGAGGCCAGCAGGAGGAAGGGCCCATCGTGCAGGCACCAGAAATTGGGGGAGCCCCTGCAGGACCAGGTGCCTCATTTCTAGCTCTGCTGTCAGTGCATGGCTTAGAAGACGGGTACCTCTCCGGCCCCCCGCCACACATGAAATCAACCTCCCTCATCCACCTCTGGAGGATGAGGGACAACAATGGGAGGTGGCATGGGAGACCCAGAGCCCATACTTGGGAATCAGGCAGACAGGAGTTCAACCCCTGTCACGCACGTATCCTATCACATATCAGGGGTGTGATTTTGGCAAGTAGTTTCCCCATTCTGGGTCCCTTTGGGCCTGAGTTTTCCCATCTGTAAAAATGAGGATAATATGGCTCACTTCACAGATGATGCCTGTGGATGGACATTGCATAAGGGACATCCACTAATAGGCGTGGAGAATTAAGTTCAAGCCAGGGCCCCTGACACGGCCTCCTGGAATCCCGATTCCATCTTTGGAGAACAGGACTGGGAAGGAGAGGTGGATGTTTGGGGACATTAATAATAGGGTGGACTATCATGGGGGTCCCAAGCTGTGGGCAGTCAGTGGGCGGAGGCTGGCTGACCACCTGGTAAGGATGCTTTGAAGGGCTTCCTCACAGGCAGAGAGGGGGACGGGATGGCTTCAGAAATCCCACTGTCTTTACAGTCCTGTCCCACCTGAATTACCTCTGTTCTTCCCTGACTCTTAGATGGAAAAGCAGCCTCTGAACGTCCATGTCCACTCAAATGATGTGGATTGGATTGAACTGAGGATTAGAACCCCCAGCTCAAGCTCCAGAATATAGTTGTGTCCACAGTCTTGGCAAAGACTCTGAATAGTGATGCTGAGGACCAACTGACAGAACAGACCAGAAGGAGCTGGGGAGGACCTGGCAGCGACTGGAAACAAATTCTTCCAGGTCAGCATAAGACCGATGTACTGAACCCTGTCATGTCCCAACACAGGGCCAGGGCCTGGGGGCCCTAAGATGGTACAACATAGTCCTTGTCATGGACTAGTGGGACACAGACATCTTTGGCAGGTCAGGGTGGTAAGGCTGAATCAGAGGTAGATCTGGAAGCTGATGGGAGCCAGGAGGGACCAGCCCAGAGGGCATGACCCCTGAGATGGTCTTACAAGACAAATAGGCTAGAAAGAGTGATGGCAGAGAAAGGTAAGTAAGGTATTCTTGCAGAGGGAAGAAAAGAGAAAAAGGAAACAAAAGCATGACCCATAATCTATGTTGTTCACCATAATACTCTGGCACTCAGCCCAATGCCTGGCAATAGTAGGTGCTCAATAGACATTTGTCAAATGAATAATGAAGCTAATGCTACCTACTGCTTATTAACTTAACCTACGCAACAGCTCTATGAGGCAGACATTATCATTGCCCTCACTTCACAGATGGGAAATAGAGGCATAGTGAGACTAAGTAAACTGCTCAAGGTCAAGGGACTTGAATAAGCTGATACATGGCAGAGCCGGGGCTCAAACGGAAGAATCCTGGATGCAAAGCCATGCTCTGGACCCCTCTGCTAGAGTGGCCCTACTATGCTCCCCTGCCGCTGGGCAGTATCCTGTGAGCAGGAACCACAAATAGGGGTGAGCTAGTCTGCTCGGGCTGCCCTACCAAAGTCCCACAGCCTGAGTGGCTTAAATGACAGAAATTTATTTTCACATTATTCTGGAGGTTGGAAGTCTGAGGTCAGGGTGTAGGCAGGGTTGGCTTCTTCCAAAGCTTCTCTCCTTGGCTTATAAAATGACTGTGTTCGCTCCATGTCTTCGCATGGTCTCCCATCTGTGCAGGTCTGTGTCCAAATTTCCTCTTCTTATATGGACACCAGTTGTATTGGATTAGAGCCCACACCAAAGATCTCATTTTCACTTTATTACCTCTTTAAAGACCCTATCTTCAAGTACAGTCACATCCTGAGGCACTTGGTAGTTAGGATTTCAACATATGGATTTGGTACTGGGAGGAATACAATTTAGCCCATAACAAGGGGGTTCAGGGAATAGGTGGGAGACGAAGCTAGAAGGATGGGTAGGGTCAAATCCTGCTGGGTCTTTGCGTGGAAAGGACACATCTGGATGACATCTGGAGGCACAGGTGAGGGCACAGGTGGATGTGGCGGGATGACGAGTCTGTAACAGACCCTCCCCCACTCTTCTCTACACAGATGACTCCACTGGGACAAAAGGCTCCTCTGGGTGCCCACTTTGCAGCTGAAAAAAAAATTGAAGTTGGTGATAATGGTAAAGCATCATTTGCTTTGGCCCGGGATGTGTGGATGGTTTGTTTTTAACTGTAACACATGCACATCTCGAAATCCAGTAGGCTTAACTGAACACTGTAAAATGAACCGAACCACCTCTAACAAACTAAATTGATAAATGGTGATGTTAAACTAGAAGGCATCGCTAATTACAAAGCAGGGAGAGCAGCCATCGAAAACCACAGTTCTCTCAAGCCCACCCTGCTGATTCGCTGATAACAGGGCATCCTTCCCTGGAAATGGGGGATTGACACACTCTGCATGAGGACGTGCACAGTAGGAGCTGTGCAATGCTGTCAAGTATGTGAGGCACCCAGATCTCTTAAAAGAAAGACAACTCTCAGCTCTGAGTTGATGGTCACTTTTAATAACTCACTGAGTTGGTTAGTAATAAGTAGATCTTAGTGTGATATCAAAACAAAAGCTCACAGAATCCTGAGCCGTTTGGCTCAGAAAAAGGGAAGAAAAGACCTGGAAAAAGGGAAGAAAAGACCTGCATTATGAGTTTGTTCATGGCCACCAAGTAACCCTAATGAGCCCCTAGGGAGCTACAGACAGCACCACGAAAATCCCCGTGGTACAGAAGTATCTCAGAGCCACCACACCTGGCCTACAGCCCAGGACTGCCCAACATAATACAGGTTCTGATACAAACAGAACATATTTAAATGCATTAAATACATCCTTGGTGAGAGATACACACATTTTCCAAATCCATATTTAAAATCTCAAAGAAATTGAACAGCAACCTTCAACCATTCATATGCTAGCAGAAAAAGTTCTGGACAGGAAGACAGAAGACCCAAGTACCATTTATCTGTCCAGTCCCAGCTCAGCCACAAATCAGCTATAGAGATTTATTATCTTACCTATAAATGTGCTCATTTATATAGAGTGTGGCTATGGTTCTTTAAGGTCTGTGCTCCTATAGACTATCTTCTGTTACGTGTATTGCTTCTTTTCCAGTTCATTTCCTGTATTAATTATCTACTGCTATGTAACAAATTATCCCCAACTGTACAGGCTTAGAATAGCACACTTTAGATCACAGGTTCTGTGGATCAGGAATCCAGGGCACCTTAGATGGATCCTCTGGCTGAGGATGTCAACTGGGGCTGTGGTGTCATCCTAAGGCTCAGCTGGGGATGGATCTGTGTCTGAGCTTATGCCAGTGGTCATTGGCATGATTCAGTTTCTCCAGGCTTTTGAACCAGGAGCCTCAGTTTCTCATGAGCTGTTATCCCAGCCTCCCCCCACCCAATTCCTTGCCATGTAGGCCTCTCCATAGGGCAGCTCACAATATGTCAGCTGGCTTCATCAGAGTGAGCAAGGGAAGGGCCAGAGAGAGTGCCAGCAAGTCAGAAGTCATAGTCTTTTAGAGCCTAATCTCAGAAGTGACATCCCATCACTGCTGACTATTCAGTTCATTGGAAGCCAGTCACCAGGCCCTGCCCACACTCAAGGGGAGGAAGTTACATGGGGGGTGTGAAGGCAGGAGATGGGGGTTCTGGGAACTACTTTGAAGCAGCCTACCTCCCCTCCCCACCATTCTCTGTGCCTTCCTAGGGCAACTGAGACCACAGTTCCCCTCTTGGACTTTTATAAGGTGTTCCATTAAAAAGGGATTGAGGGGCACCTGGGTGGTGCAGTTGCCTAAGCATCTGACTTTTGGTTTTGGCTCAGGTCATGATCTCAGAGTGGTGAGATTGAGCCCTGTTTCCTGCTCTGCTCTCAGCGGGGAGTCTCCCTGAGATTTCTCTCTCTCTCTCTCCATCTGCCCCTCCTGCTCATTCACTCACTCTCTCTCTCTCTCCCAAATAAATAAATAAATTTAAAAACAACAATGACAACAACAATGGGGCACCTTGGTGGCTCAGTTGGTTTAGTGGCCGACATTTGGTTTTGGCTCCAGTGATGATCTCAGGGTTGTGGGATTGAGCCCTGCGTCAGGCTCCATGCTCAGCACAGAGTCCATTTGTCCCTCTCCCTCCACCTCTGCCCCTCTCCTCTCTCTCTCTCAGAAATAAATAAATAAAATCTTAAAAAAAAAAAGTATTGAGAAGTAGGAGTGGTAACTTAGAAGAAGATGGGGTTGATGTACCAGGAGTATGATAAGGGGGACAGTGACAGCAGATGTGGCCCCGTTACCATTAATGGGGTTGCTTTAGCCAAGTGCCCCCTAGCTGCATCTTAATACTTTGGAAAAGACTTGGGTGAAAAGGCAGTGTCTAAGGCACATGAAATTCGAGTCTTTCTCGTGCTCCAAGACCTCTTGGCCCCCAGTCCTCTAACTCCAAGTGTCGGGGTACTGGAGCCTGACGGGACCACCGGAGCGAAGCATGGTATTTAATCTATTCTCTTGAGCTCGGTGGATATTATCACCTTCCGGAAGAGAAAAGAAAACAAAAAGCCAAACCCTCTTTAAGAAGGTTAATGGAGAATCATCTCCATTCCATAAGAGTGTCACTTTCTAGCTGTAGGGAGTTAAGGAAAAGTTAGATGCTTTGTGGAATGTGGAAGGACAAGATGGTACATTTCTCAAGGTCTTGCCTCCCACCTTGCCTTGGCCAAGCACAGGAAGGAGTCAGGAACTTGGAGTGTAGAGAGCCATATGCAGGGGGATGTCCCAGGGCTACCTGACAAATGCAAATGTTTAGTGGTGGATTAAACTATGCCATGTGGTCTGGTTTCATGAATGGGGCTTCACCCCTCTGTTGCCCCAAATGGCAGGGCGAAGGTAGGCCAGGGCTGGAATTAGTGGGGCATCTGGAGGAGGGGGCCCAATTTATGGAGACCCTCATTGTCAGAAGTGCAGGACGACCCCAGTCCTGGCCCTGGAGTAGACTAATTGGTCATGTGATTGCTGGTCAATGTCAGCCTCTCCATGGGCATTTCATGTCTGGTTTTGTTCACCGCTATGTTTGCAGGGCTCCCTATGGGCCCTGGCACTTATTGGTGGGATGAATGAATGAGTAAGTCATTGACTCAATCAGTAAACTCCACTGGGGGAGATTCCATTTATCTATCAAGACCCAGCTCAAAGGCTCCTCCTCTCTGAAACTTTGCCCATTGCCCGGCCAGCAAGTGGCCACTTCTTGGGTTCCCATCACATCTCAAATCCCTCATCCCAACCCCCTCCATCTTGTGCCCATTGACCTGCTGTAGGATGGTGCTTAGAAGCTTGGGCTCCAGAGCTGTGCTGTGCTAGTTCACGTCCTCACTCCATCTCATGAGCTCTGGGACCCTGGCCAATTAATTAGCTTAACTTCTCTGCACCTCAGTTTTCCCATCTGTAAATTGGGGCCAATAATAGTTGTGTTGTAAAGATTAAAGACGTGAATACATGCGAAGCACTTAGGATGATGCCAGACACATAGTAAGTGCTCAATAAGTGCTGGCTGTTCCCTGCATCCACTCACTTATCACCCTGAGCTGTAATCATCTACTAACTTAGACTGTGAACTTCTCAAGAGCAAGGACTTTGAGCGTCCTGTCTCCTGGCACACAGTGGGCTGTATATCCTGATTCACTTAGTGGACCATCTTGCTTCAGGGGGATGGAGCACAGCCTTGAACTCTGAGACGAGCCTATGACCTTCTACCTCCCCACTGCCACTCTCCAGCACTCTGGCATGGTACAGACCCCTCGCTTGATCCCTGGAGACCTGCGGACGGCTCTGGGCCCCATGTTCGTCGCTCTGAGCCCCTCATTAATCTTGATTAGGAAGTCCTTGCACTCCAGTTAATTTTCTTGTAGATGCGTATCAGTCATGTAGCAGGGAACCTCTCCCGAGCTAATGAGGAATCATAGTCTTGCCATGTTATTACTTAGGTAATTAGTACAGACTTCCTTGGTGGCGGTGGGTGGGGAGAAGGTCAGGGAGGTATCGGGAGAAAAGGAGAAAGTTGGAGTCTCCAGGGGACTGGGGGGCGTGGGTGGCGAGTCTCCCAGGAGGTGGGGGAAACGCTGGGCTCCCGGCCTCTCCCGGAATTCAGGCCAGGGCAGAGAGGATGTCCCCACCTTGAGCTCAGTGCCCCAGGTGGGGGTGTCCCCACACCATCCCCACCCCACCCTGGCCAGGTTGTGAGAGCGTCTGGTGTGCAGATCCAGTGCCCCGGTGGGAAAGCAGAGGCCAGCCGCGGGCATGGGGGGAGATCCTGAGGGCCCGGGGTGACCATTTCACGGTGAGCAAGGGGGCCTGCCAAGCCCAGCTGGGAGACCAGGAAGCCAGAGCAGAAGAGGGACTTGGCGCAGCAGCCGCCTTGTCTGGGCATTTTGTTCTTCTGCTCAAGATTCAGATTCTAAAGAGGGGCTGGGCACCCTGCCTCCCCCTCCCAATCCCCTGGAAGTGGCACTAGGCTCCCTGTGACAGTACCACAGACTGCCATATTACAGAAGGCTTAACTCCTCCAAAGAGAGAGGGGCCCTGCTGGGTAGGGAAAGTTACTCTGAGCAGACAGGGAACATGCTCTCTCTGCCTCTCTGGTGAGCGAGTTTTCCTCGTCTTCTTTTTTTTTTTTTTTTTAATTTTATTTATTTTTTGACAGAGAGAGGCACAGCGAGAGAGGGATCACAAGCAGGGGGAGTGGGAGAGGGAGAAGCAGGCTTCCCGCAGAGCAGGGAGCCTGATGCGGGGCTCGATCCCAGGATCCTGGGATCACGACCTGAGCCGAAGGCAGACGCTTAATGACTGAGCCACCCAGGCGCCCCTCAAGTTTTCTCTCTATTCAACAAAGATGGATGAGGCACCCTCGAGATGCTGGCATCTCAGGCTGTGCTTGAGGGGCCAAGTGGGGAGATCAGAGAGAGCCCCGTGAGTCTCCCAGGCATGGCTCACTCTGGAGGGTATGCTGGTCACACAGCCCCACCAGGGATGCAAAGAGGCCTGCAGTTTGGGGGTTGTGACATCCCAGTGGCCTGAGGCCCAGAAAGCAGCACAGAGCAGCAGGT